GGTTGAAGGGACAATAAAAGGAGGTGGTACCTCTAGAACCAGATCTGAGTCACCTAATATGGCATAACTATGGTCAAGGCTTTATATTAGAATCTAGACCACAAGGAGAGGCACTGTTCAGCATGCTGTAGAGCATTCACAGCCACTACTGGAGAGGAAGAAATACCATGATTATTTTACTCTTCTGACCCTCAAATTTTACCCATTGACTCCTATTGGCCAAATCTAACTAGAAGACAAAAGATCAAGGAGCTTGGGGAATGTAGCGCGTTTTTACCAGATTTTGAGCCAGAGTTCTTAATATTTCCACATTCATTCCATTGTTTAAAATATTATATTTAAGGTTATATGGCAACAGATTAATAAATGGTAACATTACAAAATATTTAATACATTATAAAGCTATTTCCATTTTAGTAGTAACAATTAGCTTTCAGTAGCTTATGTTCAAATTGACTGCAATTAACTGCTTCTGTTAATGCACACACGTACCATTTCCCCAATGAGCAGAGAAGACTACTCCTTTCCTGGAATCCAGATTGACCTTAGTGATATGATAAGTCAGAAAAATGTACAGAAGTGGAATTCTGAGACTTCCATGGCCTTCCTGCAGATTCTGACTAGGTCTTTTAGAATATTAATTCTTTGAATTCTCATTGTTGGAACACTTATTCTGTTGAAACACTTATTCTGTTGAAAATTATCCTTTCTGTATAAAATGTGACTACACTGAGACACAAAAATACAACCGCAAAAATACAAGACACAAAAATACAACCACAAAATTATCCTTTCTGTATAAAATGTGACTACACTGAGACACAAAAATACAACCACAATACAATAAAATGTGACTACACTGAGACACAAAAATACAACCACATAACGAAGACCTCCCCAAATTCATGACCCACAAAATAAACAAAACTAAATATGATTGTTTTAAGTTACTAAATTTGGGGGCAGTTTCTTGCACAGCTCTCTCTTTCTCTTATATACAATTTGATACCAGAAGATGTATTTATATAATAAGAATCTAAAACATGTGGCATTAGCTTTAGAATTAGATGGTGCATAAAAGGTAGAAAGACCTCTAGGAAACAGTTGAAAACTATTAGTATATAATAAAATTGTCTTAGAAGACTGTTGGCGAGCAATCTGAAAGCATGTTATTAGAAGTTGGAAAAATGAGATTTGTGAAGTGGTGAATTGTTTGGCATAACTGCTGCCTGTGGTAATGTGGAAGGTAGAATTCATGGTTCTGTTTGGCAAGATTTTTCAGGTAGATTGTAAAGATTTCCAGGTAGGTGACTTAAGTTACCTATGATAAAATATAAGACAGTAATAATTAATAAAGAAATAGTTCAATTTTCCAGTAAAATGTAAAAGAGCTAGGATGTTTGGTTGTTTGTTTGTTTAAAAAGAAACTAATTCTCATTCCTGGTCTGTTCCAGCAAAATATTCTTAAAGTAAAAAATATCAGACAGCCAAATTTGAGATATTAAGCAATAAATTTGATCTCAGATAAAAATTAAGTCAAACATATAACCTCTATGAAAACCTCAGAAAACATAAAGTGATGCCTCTTAGGTATCTTCATCTAAATGAAAGCCCTCCTAAATATTAGAATGCCTCATAAAAACTCCCAAACAATAAGCTTACTAGGAATCTTAAATAGGTTATTCTATGGCAGCCCCAGAGCCCAATATAGAAAAAGGCTTATCTCAAAGAGGCTTGTGGGTGTGGCTTTTACTTAATGGGATATATATTTATTATTATTGTTTTGAATTTTTATAGGAGTTATTTTTAATCAGAGTTATTTGAGTCAAACTGATGACAAATGCTGGGGAGCAATATCTCAAATGCTCCCTGGCGTGTATTTTTATCTAATACACAAGAAATTCACACATTTTTAAAGAAATTATATGAACTCACACTGAAAGTAATCTCAGTAATATATATGCTCTTTGAGTCCTACTCTATTATGGGAAAAAAAGCTACTCAGATATAAAAAGGGCTATTCCCAACGGAAAAGGCATTATAAATTAAAGAAACCAGGAACCAAAACCTCTTTGATCTGTGGGTTTATGTTCTTTTAAAAACAACCACAAACAAAAATAAATACAGGTTTAGATGGTAAAAATACAGGTTAATTCCACCAATTTTTTTCATGGAGGAAATGCCATTTCGAAAAACAGTGGTGGGAGCAACTTTTATCAGATCATTGTATGAGGCAAACATAACCCAGATGCCTAATCCAGACAAAGAAATTAACAAAGAAAAAAATTACAGAATAATTGTTTTTATGAACATAGATGTAAACATTTTCAACAAAACATTAGCTTATGTTATATAGCTATCTATATTAAAAAGATAATAATCCAGACAATATGGGGTTTATCTTGGAAATGCAAGACTCTTTTATCATTTGAATGTTGATCAGAGCAATTAACCAAATCGACAAAATTTTTAAGGTATACAATATTTAATATGATGCAGAAAATTATTTGACAAAATTCACCATTTTTCATGAATTTTTAAAAAAGAAACTAACTACTAACTTCATCAATCTAATAAAAAGCATTAGCAAAAAACAGTTAATATATTTTGTGATGAAATATGTTATTTTTCTCAAAATATTGAGAGCAAGCGAATAAAGTCTCATCTAGTCAACATTTTTACCATAGGTCCTAGGCAGTGAAGTAACAAAAGAATGACAAATCAGGAGCATAAAGATTGAAAAGGATGAAATGAAAAAAACAACGATATGGTTAATGGTAAAAAGTCCTAAAGAATCTACAAAAACACTTTTGGAAGTAATATTTTTTGAAATTTCAAAGGAAAACATTCAAAAGTCAATAGTATTATTATTTAATAGCAGCAGTAAATAAAAATCAACTTAAAATCAGTACCATTTATAATACCATCACAATATAAAATATTAGGAATAAATTTAACAAAATATGTGCAAGATCTTTACATTGAAACTAAAAAAAAATGAAGTAAACATTAAACATACAAATAAATGAATATGCCATATTCACCTATTAGAAGGTTTATTATTTTAGCAATTTAATTTGCTAAAATAATAAACCTTCTTACCAAATTAATTCTATAGATTAAAAGACTGAATTGTAAAAACATGCAACTTTTAGATATTAACAATTTGATTTTAAAATATACAAAAAGAATAACAAAGAAGAACAAGTTAGCCTATTTGCCTTATATTGAATTTCTTCTAGTATAGATTTAGTATACAGTTAGATTAATCAAGACATCATGGCATTTGTATAGATATATAAATAGATCAAAGGAATGATCTAGAAATTTACCCATTCATATAAGAGTAATCAATTTTTCAAGAAAAGTAAAGTCAGTTCGAAACATTATACTGTAACAACTGGATATCCACACAACCCCAAAGAATCTCAAAAATTTCAACTTACTTTACCCCAAAGACTTGAAAACTTATATCTAAAAAGATATTTGCACACTGATGTTCATAGCAGCATTATTTACAATGGCCAGGACATAGAAGCAACCAAAGTGTTCTATGATAGATGATTGGCTAAGGAAGCTGTGGTACATATATACAGTAGAATATTACTCAGCCATAAGAAGAGTTGCAATACTGTCATTTGTGACAACATGGGTGGACCTCGAGATAATCATGCTAAGCGAAATAAGCCAGACAGAAAAAGTTGAAAATCACATGATATCACTTACATGTAGGATATAAACCTAAAAGCAACAAATGAGTAGGACAAACAAACAGAGACTCATTGACACGGACTATAGACTAGTGGTTACCAGAGGACTATAGACTAGTGGTTACTAGTGGAGTAGGAGAGGAGGGAGGAGGTAGAAGAGGTAAAGGAGGTCAAATATAGGGTTTAGGGGAAGGGTGAAGTGGATCAAGGGGATCAAATTTATGGTAGCTGAAGGAAACTGAATTTTGGGTAGTAAACATAATAGATTATACAGATGTCAAATGATAATGTACACCTGAAAATTATATAATTGTATTAACCAATGTTACCCCAATAAACTTAATTAAAAAAAATAAAGTAGAAAGAAATATTGCCAGAAAAGATTTATATCTAAAAAAAAAAAATTCAGCTTACTCAATTCATATGGGATAGATCATAAATCTAAATATAGAAACTAGAATTATAAATCTTATTGAAAGAAACAGGAAAATTTTACATGACCTTGGGATAAGCAATCCTTTCTTAGATAAATCATGAAAATATATATCAGTATAACAAAAGAAAAGTTAATTTGGACATTATTAAAATTTTATTATATGTACAGTATTTCTTACTAAAAATTGAGTTTGAGAAAAACTCAACTCTTCCAGGGATTACACCTTAATTCTTTCATCTATATTATCGGACAGTTCTGAAAAGAGACTACATGGAAAAGAAGGTTTGCAATAAAAAGCAAGGGATGGGATCATTATTATAAGAGTTAGAAGCATCTCTTTGGGCACTTACACCGTCAACTTATTTACTTCTTTAAAGAATGTTAAATGTAAATTATTAAATAGTTTAAATATTTTTTGAATAGTTATATTAAAATACAGAAATGTCTGTGCATATTCCTGATAATTGCTTTCGAATCACCAATGTTTTCTTTCCTAGAAAAGATCTATATTGAGAATGTTTATCATTCCAAACCTACAAGATGGCCAGTTTTCCTACTCATTCCATTTTTCATTATTCTCTGTGTAATGATTGCAACCCTGGTAAAAGTTTATTTCCAAAGAAAAAAATGGAAAACTGAGGAGTATACAAGCGATGAGTATATTGATTTCATATTTAAGATTCATTACTTTTATAATTTGTTGGCATTTATAGTAATGTGTTAATAAATAATACCATGATGTTACTAATAATAAATCAGATTTAATTTTATCTTTATAGGGAAATTTAATACTTAATCTGTCAATAATTAATATAATAAAGAATGAACTGAATTTTTTAAAAGGTCAGCAATTTTAACCTCATAACAACTTGGACTTGTTAGGGGTAAAATTAAGTGGGAATGATTTCTAGAAAATGTTTATCTACCTCCTTTTATTATTTGATCTTAATTATTAAATATGTACTAAACATTACTTTATTTTTAAAATTTATATATTAAAAGAATTTTTTCATAAACTACTTTAGTAAAAGTTAGCAAAAAAATCCAGGAGAGTAGTTAGCCTTTTATGTGGTTAATAAATTGAGAGACAAGCAGCTATAGGTGGAAAAAATTAAAAATGAATATATAATATTAAGAATGAAAAATCTAGATTATAGCCATGGCTAATCTATAGAAAAAAAAATAAAACAAATAATTTTTTAAATTAAAAAACCTTAGAAGAAATATCTGAAAATATGTTTCAAGAATAAAAATAAATGTTAAAACTAATTTTCTTTTCTTCAAGGAAATTGATATAAAATAATTTATATCTTTGAGTTTTATATCTGGGTCTTTTTTTTTCCTAAAGTGAATTAAATTTTGTATAATATTTAAAGATGATGAGATAATATAAATTAAAAGGGAACACATTTCATAGAATATTTTGAAATTCTGTGTATGTAAATTTGGTGAAATAATATGCAGCATGTATAATAGTTAACATTCGGTTAATATTTAAATATATTAAAGAAATTTTCTTATATTGACTGACTTCGTTGTGGAAAAACTAACATCAAATATCTTTAGAGGGCAAAGTAGCTGGTAAAATTAACAGAAATAAATAGGGCAGGAGATAAATGGTAACGTTTAAAGTTATTTAGCTAATAATGTTATGAATATGAAAGTGATCTGAGTTTATTTTCAGGTAAACTTACATTACTGTGTATTTTTCTCATGTTACTCTAGATTACCAGCTGAGAGATGTTCTCGGTGGTAAGATGTTATCAGATAGTGGTTGCTCCCAGATCTCAGATAGGGATTCAAAACTGTTTCAATACTGACAGATGGTACAGAGTTTTGTAGAACAATATTTGAAGAAAATATAATTTTAAGGGACTGTATGTATTTTTAAATATATAGGCAACTTGAAAGTGAGAGTGAAACCAAAGAGTAGCCCGGAAAACAGAGAATCCATAATATCACAGTGAGTATCAAATATTATAAGGATGAGAGGGAGAGACAGAGATAATCTCATGTATTAGATAAATATGAATTATTAAATAGTATAGTCATACAGATGCATATGATATTAAATTGGAGAATATTTTTCAATACTGTAAATTATGTCTTAGACATAGTAAATAGAAATGACATTTTATCATTTAAAAATTCTTGCAGTGTTACCTTTTACATTCTTCTAATCATGTTTAATTCTTTAGCATTTGTGTATTCAAAATGTTGGTTAAAATAAACTACATTATAGAACTCCACTTTATAATAAGTTACCCTAATGCTATTTTTTGAATTAACCATCATTTTCAGTTTAATTGGGCACACAGGTGACTTTTCCTCCTTTATTTATTTTTCCAGAGCAATTAACTTCGGTGGACAGGAAAAATGGAAAAGAAAAAGAAAAAGTACATGCATTGCCTGATTGCCTGGGATTCAATACCTGAATATTTTGGTTTTGATCTGACAAGAAAAAGTAGAAATTTTCATAAATAATTTGTGTTATATTATTTATATATTATATAACATTTATAATATATATTCCATGGAAAACTTATTTGTAAGAAATGCTTGTATATGAGTTTTTATATTGCATATTTTAAAGTTATTTCATACTAATTCTATTAGTCAGTAGGAACTAACTGTAAATCGGCAAGCATGATATAAGGAAGTTTGTAATATAATAAATGCAAAGCCATGATTAAAATAGGCCATTGTTATATTTTAAATTTAAATGGTATGTAATTATGTTATACATCTGATGGTGCATAACCAAGCAAAAGAAAACTAGATAGACTTTAACATTAAAAGTATTAGTAGAGATAAAAAAGAATATATCATAATGCAAAGCATTGATCTAAGAGAAGCTACCAAACATTCAAAGATGATTTAATACTTATTTTTAAACTCTTCCAAAAAACTGAAGGAGAGACAATACTTTCTAACACATTTTATGAGGCCAAAATTACCCTGATACCAAAACCTGGTAAGAATCACACACATACACACGCACACACTGCAGAGCAATATCTCTAATTATACAGGTGTAAATATCCTAAACAAAATACATCATGATCAAGTGAGCTTTATCCCAGGGGTGCAAGCATGATTCGACATACACAAATTGATCAATGTGATGTAGCACATAAACAAAATAAAGAATAAAAATTATGTGATCTTATCAACAGATGCAGAAAAAGTATTTGACAAGATATAGTATCTATTTATGATTAAAACACTTGAGAAAATGGGTATAGAAGGAAAGTACCTCATCATAATAAAGGCCATATACAACAGACCCTCAGCTAATATCATAGTTAATGGTGAAAAACTGTAAGCTTTTTTCCTATGATCAGAAACAAGACAAGGATGCCTGCTCTCACCAATTTATTCAATATAGTACTAGCTAGAGCAAGAGAAAGAAATTAAAGGCATCCAAATTGAAAAAGGGGAAATCAAATTGTCACTTTTTGTAGATGACATGATACTCTATATAGAAAACCCTAAAGACTCCGACAAAAACCATTAGAAACAATAAACAAACACAGTAAAGTTGCAGAATACAAAGTCAATGTACAAAAATCCATAGCATTCCTATACACTAACAGTAAAATTTCAGAAAAAGAAATTTAAAAAATTCTTGTTCCAATTGCAACAAAAAAAATAAAATACCTGGGAATAAACTTTAAAAAGCATGTAAAGGACATATATCCTAAAACTACAAGGCATTATTAAAAGAAATTGAAGAATACACAAAGAAACGGAAAGGTATTTCATGTGCCTGGATGGAAGAATCAACATAGTTAAAATAGCCATATTATCCAGAGCAATATATAAATTTAATGCAATTGCCATAAAAATCTCAATGTCATTTTTTAAAGTAATAGAACAAAAAAAAAAATCAGGTTTGTATGCAATCACAAAAGACTCTAAATAACCGAAGTAATCCTGAGATAAAAGAACAAGACCAAAGATATCACTCTTCCAGACTTCAAATTATACTACAAAGCTACAATAATCAAAACAGCATGGTATTAACAGAGAAACAGACAGACCAATGGAACAGAATTGTGAGCCCAAATATAAACCCTTATATATATATGGGCAAATAATTTTCAAAAAAGGAGCTAAAAACATGCAATGGAGAAAAGAAAGCCTTTTCAATAAATGGTCCTGGAATCTATAGCCATGCCACCCTGAACACGCCGATCTCATCTGATCTTGGAAGCTGCGCAGGGTCAGACCTGGTTAGTACTTGGATAGGAGAACATCTAGGAATACCAGGTGCTGTAGGCGTTAATAAATAAAATAAATAATATAATATAATATAATATAATATAATTTAAAAATAAACCTCGAAAATTGGAAAACCACATGCAAAAGAATGAAACTAGACTTAGATTGCTGTCACCATACACCAAAATTAACTCAAAATGAATCAGAGACTTAAATAAGAAACAAAACAATAAATTCCCTCGAAGAAAACATAGGTACTACTCTCATGGACGTTGGACTTAGAGAGGATTTTATGACTTTGACCTCAAAAGCAAGGGAAGTAAAAGCAAAAATAAATGAATGGAACTCTATCAAACTAAAAAGCTTAGCACACCAAAAGAAACCATTAACAAGACAAAGAGGCAACCAAATGAAATGGGAAAAGATATTTTAAAACAACGCCACCAAGAAGGAGCTAATAGCCTAAATATACAAAGAACTCATACAACTCAACGACAGCAAAAAACAAACAATCCAATTAAAAAATGTGCAGAGGGCCTGAACAGACACTTTTCCCAAGAAGACATACAAATGTCCAACAAATATACGAAAAGATGCTAAACTTCACTAGCTATTAGGGAAATGCAAATCAAAACCACAATGAGATACCGCCTCACACCTATTAGAATGATTATCATTATATAACAAGTGTTGGAGAGGTTGTGGGATAAAGGAACGCTCCTACACTGCTGGTGGGAATATAAGTCGATAGAGCCAATATGGAAAACAGTATGAAAATTCCTCAAAACATTAAGAATAGAATAACTATAGAACCCAGCACCCCCTCTTCTGGTTATCTAACCAAAAATTTGAAAACATTTATCCATGAAGGTATATGCATTCCAATGTTCATTGCAGCATTATTCACGGTGGCCAAGACATAGAAACAACTGGTGTCCTTTGATAGATGATTGGATAAAAATGTGGTACATATATACAATGGAATATTACTCAGCCATAAGAAAAGATGAAATACTGCTATTTAGACAACACGGATGGATCTTGAAATTATCATGCTAAGCAAAGTAAGTCAGACAGAAAAAGAATCACATGTGGGATATAAAACTGAAAGCAAAAAATGAACAAGACAAATAAAAACTCATAGACACAGACAACGGATTACTAGTTACCAAAAGAAGGGGGAGGGAGGAAGAGATAGATAAGGCTAAAGAGGGTCAAATACATGGTGACAGGAGGTGATTTGACTTTGGGTGGTGAACACTCAATGCAATATGCCAATGATGTATCATTAAATTGTACACTTGAAACCTAAAAAATTTTTTTAACCAATGACCCCAATAAATTTAACAAAAAAGAAAGAAAATACCAAATATTTAAATATATAATCACTGAGTGGGATATGGGAAGCCAAGTGGCTATAGGTACATGTTAACCGAGTAATTAGTAAAAATCTAGCTCTTTTACTTTTCTTAATTTTGCTTAAAATTGCAATGTTTCCTAACCTTAAGACTAATACTGTTTCTTTTATACAGATCTATATCAGAAGACAGCATTAGTAACATCGACAAGGTGAAATGGATTCAAACTATTGACAAAATGATATAATTCATAAAATGTTTTTTTTATTTTAACAGCATCTCAGTATGAAACCTATTATTTCCATGTTTCATCGTCATCCCTCCAATTGGTCAATATCATATAGTAAAACAAAGTCTAATTCAAATTTGTTTTATACACTTCAGAAATATTTAATGTCAACCAATATTAGTCAAGGATTTATTTACCAACATTTTTTAGAAAAGAAATGACTTGAAGAGATTTAAATATATTCTTAAATAGCTATGCACTATCATGCCTCCTGCTACCACATTTAAAGTTCTAATTGGTAGATTTATATGGATTGTTTTTTGGCATTATGTTTCTTCCTCACTAAGATGCCATAGTTAATGTTATCCTCATTTTATAAATGAGGAGACAGACATAAATATTTAAACAATTCCCACATGTATATAGAATTTTAATGTTAAAGTTGGAGTTTAATTTAAGACAACCATTTTCCAAGGCTTAAACTCTTAATAATGCCACAATTTTGACACATATAGCCTGATATATGACTAGAGATGTGAAATGGAATTTACATTTTTTGAAGACATATTAGAAGCCAAGGAAAATGCTAAGTGCACTCTCTTTCCAAGGCAGAAAGACAATTATTTACTCTAAGATGGGATAAAAAAGGCACATGTATACATTGTTCAAATTTCTGACTCAAATGTGTAAAAAAATTTTGATGCTTGACATATTAGACCTATCACTTGAAGTAAATGAAAAAATTCAAAAATTCAACCAGAGTGAGGTCAGAGTTCTTCAAATTACTTATCTGACATTCCTCCATATTTAACTTTGAGAGTTAATAGACTGTTTTCTTATCTGCCACCAGAGGAAACATAATTCCTACCCTCAATGGAAATTAATCTTCTTTCTGCCTAGACCAATCTCTACCTCTTCTCTGATTACTCCATTAAAACCCACATCTTAGGTGAAGATTGTGATACTTGGTTCACTGTCTTCCTCTAATGGCCTCAGTCATAGGCTTATCATCATGCTGGGTCTCTTTATCTGAACTTTTATACCCAACTTCAGTCACTTCCTCCTAAAACAATTTACTGGCATTGCTATTTCCCTGATTTTTCCAATTCTTAAGTCATAAAT